AACAGACATTTGTCCCATCATCCCGATCCTTTTCTGCCTAAAACGTCCACAGAATGTCATAGAAAGCTGGATGTTGATGCAGTTGAAAAAACATCTTTAAGAAGAGGGCGACCAATTGCTCAGTTGCGCCATCTCTTGTGAGGCCTGTAAAGCTGTCCTAATCAACCGCTTTGTTCGCATTTTGCACAGACAAAGCCCTGATCGGCAGCCAGTCATTTAGCTCAGTCCCACTCTTAGAAAATGATGTTCCTAACGATACTTGGGCGAAGGACAGCCTCCGATTAACAATGTGCGTCGCATATGTTGCCTTTGTCTCTTAATGATGTGGCAGGCGACGCAGTTGGTTAACATCCAAATAAATTGGCCCGATCATTAAGGTTGGATTTATCCAGAATTAATGGTACACTGCTATTTTGTACGTTATGTTGACAAAAAGTGACTACACTGACTGTCTTTTCAAGCAAAATAAAAACACATGAAATATTATTGTGACATAATTCAAAATCTTACATTTTGAGGGGTGTTTAAATCTTTAGTTACTTTGATGAAACAAGTAACTGTTTGGATCTTTACATTTTCTTGAGAAATCTGTGGGAAATAACGTTTAGATAGTTGAAATGATTTTGAATATAAAGTTGTTCTTCCATTGTCATATCATACCTATTTCATAATTCAACTTTAAAAAAAAAATCATATTCAATCTTTTTCATTCTATTCGCATTAGGCATGTACATTTATAAATTCTTTGAAAGAACTCTTGAAAGTCGTTAAGGAGGAGTAAGAAATAGAGTCCTGAATATTCAAAGTAATAACAAAAATAAAAAAGAATCACAGTAAAATAAACCGCAGTTTAAAAGAATTCGATACGCCTTATGCACTTCTGTTTCTGGTTATCAAAGAACTTCGGGATATTTAATCATCGAAAATCTTTGGTAAACTTATATTTTAATGTTAAAAAATTATTAAAAAAACATTCAGGAAATTTGTATCTATAATCGGTAATCTCAATATCATCAGCATCGCCATAAATTTATACGAATATTATTATATTTCCTATATGAACTTACATGCTCGGCTTCTATTATCACTTTGATCGCTTATCAAGATCGTTGTTCTCATCATCGTCATCATCATCATCACCATTACTATATCAATGTGTGTATATTTTTTCTGTAGTTTACATATATACACGCGTTGGCTCATAATCCCATTTTCTATCATTTCGCAGAAGTATATAGATGTCCGAACAAGTTATTGTAACATTCATGATATAATATTTGCATATCATGATTCCATTTTCAAGATGTTATTTTACAGCAATTTTTCCTCTCTGACTGTTCAAAAAGGTGGCGTCAACAAATTGTTCACACTTTTTCTTTTCAAAGTTCCGTTTAATCTTAAATTGTGTAACATTTCGAGTATACCAACTCACTTATTAATTAATTTTCTTCATGGATATGCAAGCTTAGATTTTGAGCATTCTCTATACTGATGTCAAAGAAAAAAATGTATGGCTACATTGCTGTTTATGTATACTTTAAGGCTGGATGCCATTTCGTGTGGGTTATTGATATAGGAGGGCACGTTTTTCTACAGGATACCGAATCTTCGTCGATTTCTCAGAAGTTGTCAACTTGTTCCTCCATCCTGTCGATATTGTATGGAAGAAAAAGAAAGAAGAAACAAGAAGAAGAAATACCGGGAGTAACTAAACGACTAAATGGATACCTATTATCCCTCTCTTAAACTTTTGCATTTCCTTGATTCTATGTGTGTTGTATTACAATCTACCCGAAGTGTTTAAGGAATTAGAGGGGGCCGCATAGTCATTATCATGGTATACTGGTGATTTAAATACAACTTAAAGCAAAATCTCCGAATGCGTGTTTGCGACTTTCAATTAGGCGGCGATTGTAAGGAATCTTGGAAACTGTTCATTCGTTGTTTAATCGGAATGATAGGGTGTGGATACTTAAAACTGTGAAGAGAGAGGGAGAAGGTGTGCTGGGAGAGAGAGAGAGAGAGAGAGAGAGAGAGAGATAGGAAGAGAGAGAGAGAGAGAGAGAGAGAGAGCATGTGAACCCTAGATGATTTTGTTAGTATATATTTATTTCATCTTGGAAACTGTTCATTCGTTGTTTAATCGGAATGATAGGGTGTGGATACTTAAAATTGTGAAGAGAGAGGGAGAAGGAGTGCTGTGAGAGAGAGAGAGAGAGAGAGAGAGAGAGAGAGAAAGAGAGAAATAGAGAGATGGAAAGACAGAAAAGAGAGAGAGAGAGAGAGAGAGAGAGCATGTGAACCCTAGATAATTTTGCTAGTATATAATTTTATTTCATCTTGTTCATAGAGACTTTGTAAGTTTATTTTTCTGTCTGTCGTATTGTGTCTCACTTTTTGTCTTCCTACTATCAATCCTCACCAATATCTCCTTCTCTTTCTCTTTCTTTGTTTCTTTCTTTCTTTTTACTGACTTTATAATCTACCCTGTCACTTTATCTCTCACTTGCCTCTTTCTATTTTATTTATCAAAAAATGTCATTGCATATTTTAATAATCTTCTACTTTTCTCTCTGCATATTTTATCTGTTTTTCCCCTCTCAATTTGTTTCATTAATTTTTAACCTTTTTTAATTTTCTCCATGTTTTAAATATCTTGCTGTATTTCACCGTGGCCAATACACCGATGTTATGAAGGACATGATAAGATTAAATTTAAAATAAGCTTTACCTCATGAAAGTAAATTTTGCTCTTTAAGTTAACCAAAAAAAAAAAAGAAGAGGGATAAAAGGCAAATGAAAACTTAACTAATTAAACAAAATAAAAACAAGCAAGCATACGGCTGTTACCAGGGTTCGTCATTTACCAATATGAGGTATTGAGATATATAAGTTTAAGAAAGAGATTTCTGACACCAAAAAGCTGTATTACAAGACAGATTTTGTAAGCGTTGGTTTTGATAATAATTAGACTTACATTTATAGTTATCTACAATTTTTATGACCACTGTGGTCATGGTTATCTTCTACTTGCACTTATAAAACTGAATAAGAACGTTATATATTAACACTCTATGTTAGCTGAGTAAACATTTACGATCAGTTTCAGAGGCTGATAGAGATAGATTCGTAATCCAGTTATATCACCTAATTTAAGTGATTTTACATGCGATTTTTTAATTTTCTATTCGGTTTCCCAAAGAAGTAAATCACAAAATAAATGTTTATCTTATTTTTATTTTCATGGATAATGAACATGATCTGTATGGTGATGCTAGTCTTCAGTGAATGATAATTATGCCCCAAACGCAACAGGGAACAAAGGAATATCATACAAAACGTGAAGTCAAACTCTAGTTTTTTATGATGTTTGGGTATTACCAGGATTTGTGGTAATCACCCTGACATAATCATTAGAAAAAAACATATATTTCTTAATAAAATGTTGTTACTTATATAGGATACTATCCTAGACTAGTCAGAACTTTACAACAAAAAAAGAGTAGTGTGGGCCTAATATCGATACATTAAAAAGTAAAACAACACAATTTTCTTCATAAGAAAGAACGATCTTTAGTTGTAACCAATAATATAGACACAAAATGAATACATTCACAAGAGAAAAGATGAAAATTAGACCCGCTCGAAAAAGAAAACATGGAGAGAAAAGAAAGTAGGAGCAACGGAAAAAGTAATCTCCATAATAAAATAGTAAAAATCATTAACATCTGTCCAAAAGATAGCACTTTCGTCATCATGAAATATATTTTCTTTTCCTTTTCTTTCATTAAAGGGCACTGTCCGACGACCCCGTTAGCGAACGATCGGTTTTTGCCTGACTTTAGTTGACTATCATTACAATGAATAATAAATAATTAGGGCAATTAGATTCCTTACGTAAATCTTTGGATTTACTTTCTTTTCTTGACAACAGATAACCCATGGGGTTCGTCGGGGCAAGATAGATGGCGAAATGAGGATGTAAGAGGACCAGCATTGCCCCCTCTGACATTCTGAATAGGGTTGAGTAATTTGGTTAAGCCGGTTAGATGCATGGTCCGTCGTCGTGTTTATCTGTTCATTATTCGCTCGTTTTTGTTACTTAGAACGATATATTACGTTATCTGTATGGCGGCTCCGGCTCTGCCCTCAAAAAGCGCAGGATACTTTATTTTCGATCAATGCATAATAGCCGAGATAATGCAATTACTAATGAGCGCTAGGAATTAGCGTGGTTCGCCTGATTACCAAGTATGCACTTTGTCATGTCACCACTGTACCCGTGTAAAGTCTCTTTAAAAAAGTATTTTTCTCTCGCTCCGCTTCTCTTCTTTCAGTTTGTCGGCACCGTTAATTGCTGTGTATATGGGTATTCGTTGTCGCATAAAGTTTTAAGAGAGAGAGAGAGAGAGAGAGAGAGAGAGAGGGGGGGGGGGGGAAGATGGGAGGGAGGAAGAGGAGGTAAATCCAAAATAGAAATGAAAAGGAAAAACAACAAACCGACGTGAGATGCTGGAAAAAAGAGAGAAGAAAAACTGAGAGGAAAAAGAAAATCAATAGGCCAACTCACCGCTCTTTATAAATCTATATATCGAGAACATAATTAATATTAGGCGTTTATTTCATGACCCAATACCAAATATGACATTTTCAGGTTCTACACTATTTTCATGTTTCTGTACCCTAACACTGATGACCAAACCAGACATCTTTTTTTGCAACAATCCCGCACCCATTGATCGAAATACGACAAATAAAACTGAGAAATATTCATCGCCAAATTCTATCTGATTCATATTCTCGCGAAGTTCTCCCCGCACTTGTCATTGTTTGTGTATGAAATGATTTTTATGTATACAAACAAGGTTCATGAGCGATGGCGCCTGCCCCCAACGATGGAAGATGAGTCAATAATTGCTGTACAGCATACTGTGTGTGTATGGAACACACACACGCACAAATTCACTGGGCAGCTATCTAAGCCTGTTGTCGGAGCTAATCACTGACAACTTTTGTCACAGCCCATTGGTCGCATTTATGCAGCTTTCTTTAACCACCACGATCATTATACCTCCCTTTCTCCCTTCCTTCACTTTCTCTCCCCCTCTCTTCATTTAAAGCACAGAACAGACCAGCTTGTCTTTGTGAAGCTTTCTCTATTTTGATTGATAAATTGACAGAAAGGGTTTGCGATCTCAGGCGCCACTACTCAACTCTTTGAACACTTCACTGAGCCCGCCCCCTGCCTTCGTTAACTCGCGAGCAGTCGCTATCCAAACTTTGATGCAGGTGGATTGTCTGAACGCCGGAGTTTTAGTGAGCGCATCCCTTGTTCTGGCTTCCAACTAAGGAGGGTGACTAAATCAGTTCTCTCTATACTAAGACGACGAAAAGACTGAATTTGACCGACCTAGAGTTTCAGCTAGCGAAATGTCTACCTTTTAAATTCCTCTGGTTTTTTTTATTTGTGCAAGTATTGACTATTGTACGAACAGATAGAGACAAAATACTGGAAATGCTAGCTTGTATTTGAATGTATTAATGATTTGAATTCGTCGTTTGAAGGTTAAAGTTATCGGAGAAGTATCACTTTTGGCTCTTTCAAACATTTTGATCGTTATCTATGGACAGTAGCCGTGAACTATCAGGAGAGGAACCCAGATCTCCATCTCCACGCCACGAAACGAGCAAGATGCGTCTATCACCTGACCGACCCAGTCATCACCCAGCCCGACCCCCCGCATCTCTGGCGTCGCAACCGCTCCGCCCTGCTCATTATCAAGACGACGATGATAGCTACCGTACACACACCCCGCCACCGAGCCAACCGAGAACGAAGGGCTTCAGCATCGAGAGCATTCTCTCACCGACGGACAAGCATCGGAAGTCGCCGAGATCACCCCCGATGTCGCCATCCAGTCCGTCGATGTCCAGCAATGGGTACAGTGAAGGGCCCATATACGGCTCCACTCGACACCCACTATCGGCGACCGTTCCGGGCTTGGGGCGGGCGGCGTTGGATGAGCTTGCCGCTCACCGAGCAGCGGCTCTCCATATCCCTTCTGCCGCACTCCCCTTCTCTCACCTAGCGCACAACCCTGCCTTTTATGCCTGGATGCACGGGGCATCCTTCTTGCATTATCACGGTAAGTTACAGCTCTAATATCTATACCCTTCTCCAAAACCAGTGATTCCCTTTATTCCCTCTATTTTTTCTCTTTAAGTACATTTCATTAATTATAGTGGCAATAACAATATCATTAAGAAACAAAAATAAATAGGGAGCCTAGAGTAAATAGATGGACATTTTTGCATCATTGGGGCCTGTGTACCGAAAAAAGGCCCAATTTGCAGAGTGAAATATTAACACAAATAGGAATAAATTCTTAATAGTTGCCTTGTAAAAAACTCATTCAGATATCTCTTTACTTTCTGTTAATTTATAGGCTGATTAACTTCGCTTACTAACTTTCGACTAACTGAATTCCCTGTTCTGTAACTTCTGTTGTTTAGTTTGCATTCACGCACAAAGATACAATTAACAACAACGAGAACAACAACAATACATAATGAAATATTGAGCATATTTTTATTTATATACCCCGTTAGTATAATCTGCATAAAATGTTATTTGTGTGTACATGTAAGTCGTAATTGTTGAATATATGCGCGCGATATCCACTTTTGCATCGTTATAATTTTTCATGAGAAAATGCTTTCTAAAAATGATGAATCAGCAAATATTCAACGAAAATGAGACAGTGTTTAAACAGCAGAAAAGGATGTGAATTATGACATTTGAAATTTAAATATAAGAAGGAATGAACTGACATCACATAATACAGATTTTGTAAGGGACAGTGACTATTTATGATATTGAATTAACAATTATTTCGCAAAACACAATTTGCATGATTCATGTATTCTTTCTATGTGTATTGCAAGTACTTACTTTCTGCAGATTTTATAGCCTACGCAGAAAGTGCTCTAACAACCTCTGTATGAGAAACCTGTAATAGGCTATCAGCAAATGTTATGGTTTGCGTAGGTAGAGCTACTTGTTACGAGTTGATATTTGTTATTAATATGCGACTATGTACCTTATTATAAAATTGAAGAGAGGATTTATCGGCAAAATAAGCCGATACTCAAAACCATTAAACCTAAGTGAAATAGAAATGTATATGTCATGAAAACGCATTGTCAAATCTTGAACCTAAATGGCTTTGTTTTCCCAGTCGTTCGTATTTTTTGTTATATTCAAGATATTATTGTCTTTGTCAGTTTTATGAGAATAGGTGATATATTATAGGATTTTATATATAATTCATCATTTCTATCCACGCCGGATTTTTGTTGTTATTCTCTTCAATTTTATTTTCTGTTCTCTCTTTCTTTGGTAAAAATATATTTTGCAAGGGAAATAATTTAGTAAGTTGAGTATCTCTTCTTACCAAAGCCGCCCACAACGTCAATCCGCTATTTTGTATTTCGTATTTTATTTTATTTATTTAGTTAATTGATTATTTCATCATTTTTTGTTCTTTGGAGAGGGCATTATTCTCTCTTCGCCCCTTTCTGTCCAAGGGCTACAGGGCCGTATGAATTTTAGGGTATGATATAAACGTATTTTCATATTCTATTATTAGCGAAGGAGTGATGATGAACTCAAAGTGTTAACGAATTCTATACTTTTCCTTTTTAATTTGTAATGTAATACCCAAAATACCTCTTTCACGTTATCGTTTTTTGTTTTTATAACAACACATTTCCAATATTTGTCCAATATTGGTATAGATATGTAAAGTACTGGTCTCATCTTGACTTGAAATTATTCTGATATATTTTTGGGGGAGGTAAATAAATTGACCCCAAAAATATATATGCATCTTTTTCCTTCTATTCTCTGGATTTCCTTTTTAATGAAGTGAACAACATTATGTAGGCTTGTACTCGGCTATAGATCAAAGTGTAAGACATCAAATTATTTGATTGTATAATTACCAATTTCATCATGTTGAATATATATCAAATGAACAATTATTTCCATTAATTTCAGCGATGAATGTGAGGACCACAAACTCCTTTTTGCAGTAATTGCACCGGGGAATATCGAGAAAGACAAGGGTTTAGTTAGGATCACTGGGAAAGAGAAATTACACAGATTTCTTACTCTCTAACAACCTCTCAGATACATGTTCACGATTATATGTTGGGCAGTCCTTTTTAAACATTGTTTGATTACCAACATTGGATGTTCCTAATTTTTTAGGAAAAATTTTGTGAAAAAAAAAGTTTTGAGGTGTTTTAAAAATATAATGTGGATCATTGAAACATGGCAATTAACCTTTGCATACATATCACTTAACGATTTGTTTCTTGCTTTTCTTTTAAAAAATTAGGTTTTGAGAATAGCTCTGAATTTTATGCCCATCACTATTAATTTAACGACCACGTCATACGTGGCCCTAACATCCTCCCTCGTTAGATGATCTTTTCAATTCTCAATATGGGCAGTGTCGAATAACTCTAATTCGTGGCAGCTAGTGGTCCCGAATTCTATCAATTTCTTGGATTATTTTCCCCTCTATTCTTCAATCTTGTTGAATCCCTTAGCAAGCACAATGCGTTTAATCGCGGTCTGAATATGACATTCCTAGCTCTTTAGTAGCCCTTTTGTATTCGTTAATTGCTCTTTAAGCATTTGACCCACACCGCGTCCTGCAGCAGCATCTCACCCCCGCTCATCCTTTCTTTCTTTCGTCGAAAAGGGTGAATTAAAAGTATTCAGATAATTCTATTCAACTTCAATTTCTATAAGAGCTTTTCTGTTCTTTTCTCTAATTCGCTCCTTTGCCTTACTTAAAGCTGGCATGGCTTCAAAAGCGAATAAAAAGGTCGAGGTTGGCAAACCTCGTTGGACAAGGAACTTGATGACTCCTATATGAACATGGAATTTTTACTTCATTATTTGGGAAGGCTTTCTTTTGACAAAAAACATGGGTACAGCTTGGAATGACATAGACTATCTAATAATAATATGATATAAAAAACAATATCAAATAGGGTTAGGGATAGGGTTAGGGTACTCTAGGGTTAGGGTTAGGGTTAGATTTTAGGTGGCTGTCGCAAAAGGAAATCTTTCCCATTATTTCGTTTATATGCAAAACTTATTAACCGCTCTGCAACCATGTAAATTAATTCTATTTTATATGAATGGCTCGGTGCAGCTGTTGAGGAACATGGCAGTTGAATATGTCATTGGGGTCAAATTCATCTCCCCTGGATGCCAACATTTTCTTGAGATTCGTCTAAACTTTTTGTTTTAATTCATAATGAATCCACACAAAAGGGAAATTAGAGACGGATCCAGTATTCTCATGCAGAAAGCACCCAGTCCAAAAAACACATCTGACCATCAAAATCAAAATAAGACCTTACAGTACTTCAATTGCTACGTTTTGTCCACAGTTTTTGACAACCAAAAAACAAAACAAGAAAAAAAAATTACAAAAAATATTCCAGGAGTCTTTTTGGGTAATTTTGTATAGTCAGGCTCTCGGGGAGGGACAGGCACAAGAACACCGTAATTTTAAGGGCTTTAATTCTTCTTTCGTGTATTTAAGGTATTTTAAATTCCTTTATGCCGGAATGGGGCATGTCACTTTGATTCAGTCTACTTGCATAGGCCGTTTCGACAAAATTAATTTACCGTGTTAAACTTTATTTTGGCATTTCCCTGAGAAAATTACTACAGAGAGACATGGATAAATATGGATGCTGCATTAATGTATGACTTCATTTCAATATAATGATCCCGCTAAATGATACATCATTACTTTGGTAGAGAAGCCATTGCTATGACTACAATACAAAGAATCCACAAAATTGCTAAGTGACTTTATAGCCTTTCAATAACAATTACTTCACAGGCAAATTAAATAAATAAACGACAAAGACACATAGATCTAGTGACCTACACTACTTATGCATATTGATATTATGTTTATTATATTTATGGAAAGAATGCAACAAAACATTTGCTTACCTAAATAAAACAAAAATCTTCAAATTTATAATAATAATAATAGTGGCGGATCATCAGTAACTTTTGATACTCCAAAATGTCTATACAATAATTGTTAAAAGTTATATCAATTAGACTAGTATTTGCAATTAAAGTTGTTTATTTAATTTGTAAAGTTCTGTCTTTAGAATTATTCTACTTCGCACATTGTTTTCACTTTCAGTGTTGTGAAAAATCGATAGATTGGGTGGTTTGTCGGAACTTGCCACAACTGCTTTGATTATGGTATTAAGTGTTTGCAATGAACTGAAAGAAATCGACTGCTTGATGGAGCCTCAAACTGCAATCGATCAGAGGTGAACTACGGTCTCTAAAATAAACAGCTTGTTCAACGGTGATAGTAAATAATAAATTGACTGCGTGCGTTCATTACCAATCATTCCAGTCTCTCTCTCTGGCTCTCTCTCTCTCTCTCTCTCTCTCTCTCTCTCTCTTCTCTCTCTCTTTCTCTCTCTTCTTCACTCTTGTTCTCTTCCACCCCTTCACGACCCTTCCCATCTCTTGCTGTTCCGTCCCCTTGGATTGTTAAGGAGATGTAGAGACATCTCCTTATATCCCATCTCTCTTTGATTACTTTTGATTTTGATTACTTTTATGTTTGTAAGATTTGAGGTCAAAGTTATTTATCTATTAATTTATTTATTCAGTATTCTTTAAAAAAACAAAAAGTAGCCCCATTCAGTGTAACAAGACCTGCTTCACAAGGGGCCCTGTATCAAGTGGATTTTACAATTTATAAAGTTAAAACGCAACGTAAAAAAAACAAGGATAATATTTCAGTTTACCTGATATTATGGCGAGGATAATTTAATAGAGAGTCTAATCACATGGTCTTTACCAATGAATTTAACAGCATTTAACAAGTTCGAATAAACTAATCAGGTCATTTAGTATCAAAGGCAATAGGTCATTTACTAAATATACTTCATGACATTTAAGCCCAAACTTTACTTTTTTGTGAATATCTACTTCTTGTAACAACAACTTTACACCCAAAACTGCTGTTAAATTCATTGGTATAGTCCATGCGATTGAACTTTCCCTTGAATTACACTCGCCATCATAACAGGTAAACTGAAACATATCCTTGTTCAAGATAAACTCCTGCTATACGACTTCTTTTTTTCGTAATGGGGGGGTATTATATCTTCATGAAATAGATGAATAAAATGATAAAATCTCCGCAGACGGTAAAGACACGAATTGGCAGAGTCCCACCGCTATGACTGGTTCACTCATCACATTACGGAAACCACTCAAGTTTAACCATTTCTAACGAATTGCATTCATTAATTTAAATATCGCCATGTCGGTAGTCTTTTCTTTTTCCTAATCACCCTTAACGCAACACACGCGCGTCGTTTTGCCTGCATATCCGCCCTTGGTAAAAACGCGCATAATCTCCACTTTCCGCGCCTTTAACTAAAGAACGATTTTTTTTTATTGAGGTGAATCGAAAATAAGGTGAAACGCCAGTAGGTTGAATCGTGTAAGCATTTCCGCCCACTTATCTTCAATTAGGGGAAGAAAGTGAACGTGTTTCCTGCTTTCACATTCAAACAAATAACTCGCTATGAGATGATGAACTCATCCTTAACTGCATGACTGAGGACTGGCCGAATGTGAAATGTCAGACTGATTTCTAAGGTTAGGAAACGCGGGAAGTACAGGCTTTAGTTTTTTGCTGTGCCCCCCCCCCCCCTCTGACTCCTCGCGATGGTGTCCATCATTTTCTTGTCATGCCTGAAGCAACTGTGAAAATAAAGCTCCTAAATGCATCCACATACCAAGTATACCTAGACGTATAGATGAGAACACAAAAAGAACATATAGGCCTAGGCCTATTTACGTTTGGCAGTTTTCCACTTCAATCTCCTTGACAAAGAAAGCATTATAAAGGAGTATTACATAAAAGTACTTTGTATATTTTCGAACTTTGAAAATATGTTTTCCAAACATAAACCGATGCTACTATGAATATAGAAATGAATATTGCAACAAACCGAAATATACCTGCTAACTATATATACAAAAAATACAAAAAATACACCTTATTAAAGCATAAACCGAAGCTATTAAATACGATATCATGAAAAAGAAACATTACTAAAACACACATTTCCGTCCTATATTTAATTAAAAAGAAACATTACAAAAACAACCAAATTCTTAATTGAAATTATGATTTTAAAAAAAGAGAAGAAAACTGCAGTACATAAGATTAATCAACCTACTACCTGGGGAAAATGCCATATATGCCTACAAATAGCTATTCAAAATAAGGCACAAGTCATTGAATTCAAAGAGCATGAAGTTTGGAATAGAAGCAAATTGAAGATCAAGAAGAACTTATCATTTATTTGGAGCAAAATGATGATAAAGAATAAAAAAGAAGGACATGATAATTATCATGCCCGTTTAACTTTCTTTTGAAGTAGGCTTGCGTCAGTAACTGACGTTGTATCTGACGCTAAATGAGAGAGAGAGAGAGAGAGAGAGAGAAAGATAGAGAGACAGACAGAGAGACAGACAGATTGTACAAAAGTGAATGCAGTACATTGCGTTAAGTTATTGGCGCATGCACTCGTTCCCTCATTGAATACACTATTATTAGCGCAGAAAATAACGCAATCAAAATGTGGCATCTTGTGCAGCTTGAATTATGATTATGTGGGTGTATCCCTTCATCATATTGTGTGATTTATTAGTTTTGCTTTTTTTTACACGAGAAATGAAGCAAATATACGACGGTGATTGTAATTAAATCCTACTCTATTTATCAATCAGTCTTATAGAAAAAATACATCATTAGCTTGTATGAATAATTTATATAAGGAAAGATATACTTCGGGAAAACATATTTTATTGGTTTCTGCATGGTCGTTAGTTATAAAACTTAACTTAAGCGTTGCAATGTAACATTAATATGTTGTGCCACAGCCATTTGTTATGCCGATTTGCCCCAGAAAACGTTGACATAAATCGGTAAAAGCTCTATAATTTTTCCTTCCATGCATGCAATACATTGGCGGAAATACTTTAGTTTTTAAAGAATAATTCTTTAATGCACCAGTTATTGTTCGAACGGGCACAGATTTGACATCTACTCATCATCACTGACTCAAAGAAAGAAAAACCTAGAAAGAAGAAATGGGGTACCATTAATCGAAAGCTCTGCTTAAGACCCTCCTTGCGCTAGTTCATTTATAATGCATAACCGAGAACCGATAAAAACTCGATTCATCGCGAAACTTCGCAGAAAAATCCCAAGTCGACAATACAAATGGCAGTCCCTAATAATACCATAGCCTAAACACTAGCGATGACAAAAATCAAATTTTCCATTAGAAAATAAAGGAACAACTAGTAGCTGTAATTTTGCTGGAAGTACGTTAAACCGACTGTAAATAATTTATTAGATTCGGGGATATCAGTCCGCGCTGATGAATTCTTTTAAACATTTAAACGAACTAATGAGGGCCATTAATTTTACGTTATTTCCCCTGCCAACAAAAAGTAGATATCTTCTTTAGGTACCTCTTTTCAAGAAACAAAAGAATTTCCATTTTTGTTACGGTTATCATTAAGGCGAGGACTATAATATTTGAAATGACCTGCATTTTGATCAACTCCCTCGAGTTCGAAAATCACCTAAAAAAAACCTTACTCCCATTTTTTATGAAATATAAGTCAGAGAGATTCCGTGAACGACATTAGTAGGAAGAATTGAACTCGATAACGACAAAATCAACCACCTGATAATTAGACAAGATTAAAGTGTCATGATTAGGATCGAACAGAAAACTTTCATTGGTTTGAGTAATCATAATGTGTAGGTTACACTTCTACCAAACTTCACATTTTGCATGCAAGCTTTCATCCTCTCCTGTTGACTTTCTCAAGCCAAGTGGTTTTTCTCTGAACTGCTGAATGAGTTTCTTCAACAGTGGAATACAAAAAAATCTTCATCTTCATATCGTATCTGCATGTAGGTTTATAACAACATATTTTAATTGTAACAAAAGAAGCAGAAGAAGAAAAAAAAACTAAAACAGTGGTGAAATTTAAAAAATCATATTGGAATACATGTAAATACATCAACCATTGATTGTAGTGAAAGTAAAGTCTTATTTTTATGCCACTGACGAAATCAATTAATGTTTATGTTTTTCCATTTTTCTCTCGTTACAGGCATGCCGGCTTTCAACTCGCACCCACCGATAGCCCAGCCACTAACCAACAGTAGCCGTCTCGCTATGGCCAAGGATATCTCACCTCGACCAACTCAATCCCATAGCAGCTTCGGCGAGGAAGGCGGCGAGAAAGACAGTCGTGATCGCGAATCGCCCGATTCCGAACACCGTCGAAATAATGGACACGAAGAAGACGATGATGACGACGACGATCAATCGCCGCAAAAGAAGAAGAAAAAGACGAGAACTGTCTTTTCGCGAAGTCAGGTCTTTCAACTTGAATCGACGTTTGAAGTGAAGCGGTACCTGTCTAGTTCTGAGCGGGCTGGACTAGCAGCGAATCTTCACCTGACGGAGACCCAGGTCAAGATCTGGTTCCAGAACCGTCGCAACAAGTGGAAGCGACAGATGGCCGCCGAGCTGGAGTCGGCCAATCTGGCTCACGCCGCCCAGATACGCGCTCAGGCAAACCTCGCGCAGGTCAGCGCTGCGCATGCTCATGCGCATGCGCAGCGTATGGTCCGCGTACCGATACTCTATCACGAGAATCATCCCACCACGGGTTCGAGTCTGCACTCGCCTAACATCTTGCCTTTCCCGATGCCGTACCCCGGTTCGTATCATCAAATCAGCTCGTCAACATCGTCTACATCATCAGCGAGATCGCCCACGTCAACCAGTATTGTGACATGAAGTGTGACCCGTTGATAATGGAACAATGCTATTCGTATGAAGAAGGCAACTTTCCCGGATTCTATGTACCAGGGTCAAAGTTTATACGTGTTTTTACACGGGGGAAAAGGTTTAAAACGGCTAGTGGACTAGGAATGCTGCATCGATGAGTTGTAAAAGAACGCCAGTTTATTTGCTTGGTCACAGACAAGACCCAACATGAGACCGACATAATTATAAGACTAAACATTACCTTATATTACACCGAATCGGTCGGTTTGGACTCAGTTTTGAGTCGGGTTGGCGGAGCGACAGAGACTTGAAGTGTTGCATAGGTCAGTCTGCAGTCAGTCACTGTCCTTGTATGTAACTTTTATAATGATTGATAAAGGGTCTACTAAATGTACAGTTACTTACCTCCCATGCGTACATACTCACCCCGAGTTCAGCAGTACTGTATCACAAGCACTGTTTGTACCTCATGTGTATTTTCAAATGGTCATGATTTAACATTAAATAGTTGATTTTGTGTAACTTTGGCCTGTCGACCTACCTAATTAAAACGTGAGGGCACATTTCTATTGTTGGCGCGACCGGGCAGATAAGTTAAGACATATTTATTTTTGACGCAACAAACATCACTCCTTTAATCATTTGTTTATTTATTATTAAATGGAGAAACGTACATGGTGATTGCAAAGCCGGCTCGAGGCTTGCAAGACATTACAGCAAAGTTGATTTAATCAGTAAGCATATATGAAATATGATATTATATATAAAAGGTGAATTGAATAGTTCGTCGCAGCTATTTCTTCGAGTAAAAAAATCAGAACGTTAAGTACAGACTATATATATCGTTATCAACTGGTTTATTGAACTATCAGGTATCAGATGCATACATGCCGAATCCATGAGGGATTCGTGTACATTATAAACTCATAATTTCCGCGATTGTGACAAATAATTCAGGCAGCATCGTCAGTCCAAAATATCTCAAATAAATCAAGAAAAAGAGATTGTTGTCTAATGTGTTAATGTTTCCTCGTCACTGTACAATTTTACTACCGCACAAATATTCAAGTATGCTTAGAAATCAAAATGATATTTTTACGAAACTTTAGTTATGTGTTAAAATCAGTATCCAGCGCCTTTTAAAAACGGCAATCGTTTTTTTCATTTACGAATGGAGGGGGGGGGGGGGAATTGTACATCCAGATTTAGTGTTCTAAGTCATGCATGAAGGCTTGGGTAAATTCAAATATAAAATTGTATTTATCACTTTTCTCGTGACCCGATGCTGTAAATTATCAAATTGCAATGTTTTGTGTACTATATGTTCTGTCAAAATATGATGTTTGTAATATAAAAGAGAATAATTGTAAATATTCAATGTTTCGTACGCCACGTGAATAAATTATCCTTACGATACTCGTTAAAACGGCAACTAAATGATTATTCAATTTTTTTTTGTGCGGGTTCAAAATTTCTCTTGATACTCTGTATATACCTGGTATTCATCTGAGTACACACTTTAGATTTCTCTACCTTTCTGTTTCTGTCTATATATATCGGGTCTGTCAGTTCCTCTCTTTCCTTATTTTTTTAATTCGAAATAAGTAAGGAAGACATGAATCAGATTAAATATTACACTTGTCAGGAAACGATTAACAAATCATTGATAAAGAGATATATGTCTCTCAATTTTTTTCTTCTTCTTACTTAGTGATCGTTATTATTAGTTCGAGAGCATGATATTTCATAATACTTGTCATATCGTATATCTTAGGTGTAAATATTTCATCGGAATTATTTCTTTGTTATCGTATATATGGCAACACCTTAATCTTCACTCTTGACGCAGACGACATTGCCTGACACATTTTGTTCCATATTTTTTTCCGGGGGGGGGGGGGGGAGGGGAAGTAATCATTTAGCTCCGTACTAAAACAACTCCTTAAATTTATTCCCATCTTTCTAATTTATGTCGATTAAGCTTTAAAAAACACAGAAGATGATACAAGAACAACACACATGCTTTTCTTTCCTTTCTCGGAGAATTCCTTGGGGTCTCCCTCTATTCATCTCCAACCCGGCGAATCATTTTGAGATTGCAGACCATCATTCCCGCCAATTTTACTCGCACAATTACTCTAATAGTTGGCAGACGATAACCGCTCATGACATAAATTTTCGTACAAGACGCGGGGAAGACAAAAAAAAAACCACGCATGACCAATCAGTCGATCCACTCCCGATTAGAACGATTTGTAGAGACATGCAGGAAATGGATAGATAATAAAAGAGAGAAGAAGAGCGAGAGAAAGAGAGAGGGTCTGTCAGGGGAGAGACTGAGATAAATTGATATAAAAAGTGATAGAGAAGGAGTAAAAGGGATAGAGAGAAAGACAGAGAGAGAGAAAGAAAGAGAGAGAGAGAGAGAAAGAAAGAGAGAGAGAGAGAAGAGAGAGAGAGAAAGAAAGAGAGAGAGAAAGAAAGAGAGAGAAAGAAAGAGAGAGCGAAAGAAAGAGAGAGAAAGAAAGAGATAGAGATAAAGAAAGAGAGAAAGAGAGAGGGGTAGGGGAACAGGGACAGATGAATACAAACATGAATAAAAACAACAACTTGAAAATTACATCATCACACGTTATGACATTGTTCGATTATCGACAGTACAACAATACAAGTTAAGCTGGTGTTCCAAGCAAGGTAACCCCTGACGGACGCAGTTGAAAAGAATGCTTTGAAAAGGAGTCTTCTTATTGCAATTCGATAGAAGGTTTATATCTGGTCAACATTTTGTAGGGCACTCACCTTATAAAACAAACCATCTTGTTAATGACATATAAATCTTCCAGTAGGCATAGTTAACGGATTAAATACCTTTTATCAGCGTATAATAGAAAGTAATATACTCGTACTCTATAATGCTATCAACATAAAACCGTATATACAGCAATAACCCCTACGTACAAGAAAAAGAGGTTCTCTTTCTAAAATATTTTTTTTTTATAGATCTTTAGTTCTTATTTTTTATTTTTTTAAAGATAAGGACAAAGAGCAAAATAAGAGTAGCCTTTATTGATTGATAAGGTTGGTAATAAAATATGAGAAATATACCATGCTTAGTTGAAATGGAGATGGAGAAAAGTAGAGAACTATGGAGCTAAAGATAATTACAAAGATAATAGGAAAATCAGTTGGCACACATAATGTTACCGAGTTCGCTCTTTTACCTGATAGAGGAAAAAACGTCCCAAAGTTCGTGTACTTAATCAATAAACAGTTAGAAATTATAAAACATGAAACCTTTAATGGTTCCTTATTTTTGTAGTATTATTATCATTATCATCATAATTATTATTACTATATTGTTAGCAGAATTATAATGATGGTGATTATTACTAGTATTAACATCATTCTTCTTATTATTTTATATATATATATATAGAGAGAGAGAGAGAGAGAGAGAGAGAGAGAGAGAGAGGTTATTAACAGAGAGCATAGAGGGACAGGGAGAGACATGGGGTGTCACATAGAGAGAGAGATGGCAAGTGAGATATGACAAGCATTAAGTGCGTATAAAAATTCATGCCGACGGTTTGAGCAATCACGGAAATTGCGCCTAGAAATTGCCTAGTTATTTAAGTCATCATCATTCACCCAACCAAAATATGTATGTCCAATGTCAGCCAGCTACCGCAAGATTTATCCCCCCTTTGGGTTGTGGAGTGGTGTCTGATACCTGAAATGTTTTAGTGCCAATCTTCACAAATTGACGACGGATTCTCATCCGAAGCGAGCTCTTATACCTTTCTCTCCCCCACTCCCTCTCTTTCTCTCCCACCCTCTCTCTCTCTCCTTCTCTCTATATATCTCTATACCACTTCCCCTATCTCCTTCTCACTCTCTCTCTCTCTCTCTCTCTCTCTCTCTCTCTCTTTCCCCTCTTTCTTTCTTTCCCAATGTTTCTCTCTCCCTTTCTCTTCCCGAGGAAAAAAACAAAACTTTTACACAATAATGATTTTGTTCATGTTTGTTCGGCATCTGTCTCTCTTCTTTCTATATCGCAACAAAATGTTCTGCCTGTTCCCTTTTCCTCCCCGTCTTCATCGCCCACCCCCTTCCCCCTCTTTCCTTTTCTCTCTCTCTCTCTCTCTCTCTCTCTCTCTCTCTCTCAGCTAAGAGCATGTCAACGTAACCCCCAACCATGCATCATGCCCTTAATACCCATCAAAAACCACTCATTTCTAATTACTGGTAGCTATCATCTTTTGAGGTTTAGTTTGAAAACTTGATCCGTAGGGGAAGAAAGAAAACGGGTGAAAAGAGAAAAAAAATTACGGCAATGAAAGATATTGCTCTGTCGACTGATGCGATTTGTTTTTCCCTTTTGGTACATCTGCTGTCGAGACATTGCGAGCTATCTGTCGTATATCCCATCTCAGGTATTGTTTATACTAAAAAGCTTTCGATGTTTCATTTTCGACATGTTTGATTTTGACCAAGGTGTGCCGTAGGTTAGGAGATCCCGTCTAGCTGGTCTATTGTAAAAGAGTAGCCCTTCATTGGGCATGAATCATCTAGCATTTAAAGTATGAAATTTGTTGGAAAATTTAGACAATATATAGACCTAAGTTTGATCAAATTATTATTTTTGTTTTTAAAGTTATTCTTATGATTTGCTGAGTTATGACATGAATTTAGTACATGAGAAATTATCATTTCGTTTGAACGGTATGAACATTAGATGTCCTCTGTAGCTTTCCACAGTGAGTGAGTATTCACAATTTGAGGCTTTTGGTAACACCATGTGGAAGCCTCTCTGAAAAGTATGTTGAAATATTCTTTCGTCTAAAGAACCGGCTTATGGGGCGTTTGGAGGAGTTGTGGAAGAAGTGAAAGAGAAAGAAGGAAAAAGTGATGATGGAATCGAGTTTTAGCGAACACTTACACGAGAATTTATTTGTTTGTTTTTGGTGCTGTTTACACCAAAAATGAGATGATATGGAAGGAGGAAAAGAAAAGAAGAATAAAGGAATGACCGAGATTGAGAAACCTTGGAACAGATAACAGTTGAAAAGTAATTATGAAAGAAAAGAAAATTAAAACAATTACGGTAATACCTAAGTCATACTGCCAAACCGACTCGAAACTGATTCGTAATTGTTCGATCTGGTGTCGGTATGTTTTTAGTCTCGTTGGTATATATGACTGGGGTATAAGGACACAATATGAATTTATAAAGTGCGTTAATCAAGGCTTGTTCAGATATGACGCGGTAGCTTCCGTTGAATAGAAGATAACCTACCGCGTTATTTCCCCCAACGCGTTATCGAATGGCAACTGCGCGCACCATAAGTCCTAAGCGCACGGATACAGACATTACACTTAACGTCATCATTAAAAAAAAAAAAACCGCCGTTGTTTACCGCGTCATATCTCGTATCAGAATTGAATCAATGTACTCGCATCCAACCACAGTCGCGGCACTAACGTCGTTTGGCGAGGCATCAATCTACACATGCCACCCTTTTCCCAGGGATAGATTGGGAACTTCTGAAGATTGCAAAAAGCCGTCGTTGTTGCCAGTTTGCAAATGCCATGCGTGCAATAATACGGAGCCCAACAAAGAGAAAAAAAATCTCGGCATAATGATTATGAACATAATTTGTTTCAATTTCGTAGTTGAATTCATCTATGAAATGCACTTGGGCTTGTTTTCAATAACCTATTCTCCTTCCAAAAACTTGAGAAACACAGAAACTCGAAGTTAGATAAGTCATGACTCAGTATCATAATTAAATGAATAATAGACCAAAGTGACTTTGTGTATCGTACCCAAACTGATATTTGCCTGCAGAGACCAGAATCTATAAACATTAGGCAAATAGTTTGTCTAATCTTTCTGCTGTTTTTTGACAGAAGAAAGAAATGCGCATTAGTCATATTTACACTGAGAATTTAGACATGAACTATTTACTTACCTAACGATTGGGACACACATGAAAAACATACAAACGTGACATAGTAGAAGATTGGGATCCGACGCCAGCTTGATACTTGAAGAAAGAAAAATAGCTGATTGGCATGAATACCCTGACGAAGAATTGGGATATACCTTTGTAACAATCATGCATGTAAACACCGTGGTTATCATCTTCGCTATTGTCAGTTTTTTGCTTTTATTAAACATTTTAAAAGTTTAATATAAATATTAAACTTTCTTAGAATATCTGTTTACATGTCTTGTGATTTACAGACTGATTTTTTCTTTGACCTCCTAATTGTCCAAATGATTTGTGTATACTTATTATTTCATGGGCGCCGACCACACCCTGGCCTTGTCAATATTTTCTCTAAAAAATAAAGAAATTGAGCGTCCTAGCGGAAAGAAAGTCACTTTGAAGTAATATTAATTGATTCATGATACGAATGTATGACTTT